AGACATATAACATACTTATCATTAATTAAATGGAACTTGATGAGCAATTCAACCAGCACATAATATACAGGGTGTTCCATTTAAAAATCTTATGAAAAATCCATTTGCAAAACATCAAAATTTATAAATTTTTTTGAACACGCAGTATAGTGTATATAATATCTTTGGATACTATCATCTATCTACTGGTTTTGGCTATTATCAGTCATAATTTAAGGGCAAAATCGGCAAAAATGTCACTTTTGCATCGTTTTTAAAAAGATCCTGTAACGGAGATATTTTGGATAAACAATTGCATATCTCAGGAACTATTAACGCAATTAGTTTACAACATATGGTTAGATAAACAAATTTAGTTGTAAATAAAATCCAAAAGAAATAAAACGATAAATTAAACTAGAGGTGTTGTTACATAAAAGGTTTAAAAGAACCACTTTTTCCTCTGTAAATGTTCTATATTAAACAGTTAGAAACGTTTCGGGATCAACTCCCATCTTTAGTCAACAACTTTGTTACTCTTAATCACAATCATATCTACAAAAAACCACAACAAAAACCATGAAAAACTCAAACTATACATAAAACACAAAAGAAAAACCGGTGTCGAATGTTAAAAGATTTACCTCAAGAGTAGGTATAGAAATAGAACATTTACAAAGGAAAAAAGTGGTCTTTTTTAAATCTTTTCCAGAGGAAATGTTTTACAACTGGTTTTATTTTAAATATTAGATCAACTTAACATGTTTCGGTCATTATTGGACCATCATCGGAGGTATCGTTAAATATAAAAGTGATATACGAGGAAACTTAACATGAAACAATGTTGCTGCTAGCAGAAATATATGTAAACTTTAAAATGCCACGAAGAAAATGAAGGAATTACGTTAAAAAACTGTCCACATTTTTTCGATGTTCAAATATAGTATATTCAATTTTAGTTGTATTCATACCTGTACTAATAACTCACTCTGTATATTTGATGAAAAATATTACAATGTAATGTACCAAATACTATAATAGATCAAATATGATCATATATCTATGACCATATGTTCTCGCCAGCAGAACATTTTATAATATTTGGAACCAAAATAGCGTCTGACAAGTTTTGATGGATAGTACTGNTAGACAGAATGTAATATATTACATTTTATTACTAATAATAAGGTCAATAATGGCATATTTTATTACATATTTTTCCTTAAATTTCTAAATATCAGAAAAACTACTAAAGTTAGAGATATAACATACTTATCATTAATTAAAGGGAACTTGATGAGCAATTCAACCACAACATAATATACAGGGTGTTCCATTTAAAAATCTTATGAAAAATCCATTTGCAAAACATACAAATTTATTAAATTTTTTGAACACGCTGTATAGTGTACATAATATCTTTGGATACTATCATCTATCTACTGGCTTTGGCTATTATCAGTCATAATTTAAGGGCAAAATCGGCAAAAATGTCACTTTTGCATCGTTTTTAAAAAGATCCTGTAACGGAGATATTTTGGAAAAACAATTGTCACACTACTTAAAATTATGGATCCACATATTCAAATTTAGTTGTATTCATAACCTGTACTAATAACTCACCCTGTATATTTGATGAAAAATATTACAATGTAATGTACCAAATACTATAATAGATCAAATATGATCATATATCTATGACCATATGTTCTCGCCAGCAGAACATTTTATAATATTTGGAACCAAAATAGCGTCTGACAAGTTTTGATGGATAGTAGCTGCCACTAAATTATTAATTTCCGAATATCAACAGTAATGACTATAATAAATATAGAAACAAACGTTTACTTGTTTATCACTTGATTGCTGATAGTTGATAGTAATGATATTGTTGAAGGTTGTACAGGAACAGATGTAAAGAAGAAAATCAATGGATTAAGCTAAGAACAAAGGACTAAGATAAGATTTACCAGTTGTTAAAAATACAAGTGTTACAATAAGACGGTCTTCCACACTTATACTGTTTTTTAAATGAGTATTTTTCTGTGCAACCAATTTATATACACTACGAGCCCAAAAAAAATAGCAACACCTCTTAAGAAAGCAACTGGATGCATGTAAAAGACGATGATAAAAACATCATATCGATACGCAAAGAATTGCAAGATATTATTTGGTTTTTGTTGTGAAATAGACAATCTGTGCCAGAAAAGTTAAAAACTGCACCACAAAATAAATGCCATTTGGCGAGTGAACCTTGCTTTTTCGATTATTGAGCAATGTCTAGAATTAGTAGAAGCCCGCGATTTAACAAGTTATCTGACTTTGAAAGAGGGCGTATTTTGAGGTAGGTTTCAACAGTGCTTCGAGCATGGACGCGTGGTCTGAAGAACATAACCAAGATCGTCGTCCTGGAAACAAACGTCATCGAGCGACTAAGGAACGTGAAGACAAATAAGTCTTAGAAACAGATTTCGTTTTTAGCCTGCAATTGGTGTTGACTGGATGAGAGATTTGAGGCAGATATTGTAGCGGAGAACTGTGTGCCTACTAATTTCATCATATTATCATTCTAGTAATCAAGTATCTAAGTATCATTCTTTTAACCTCCACTCATACCGACCTTCTTTCTGTTTGTGGTTCTGTTTGTCATAAAATGATCTACTGGCAATGGTGAAAAGATTGCGTGATGACCAGCTCAGTTTAGATTTTTCTAAAGTGCCATATCGTTGGAGTATAAGTCAGCTTTAGTTGTCATCCCTGACAGTTTCATTGCACACCGATACATCTACAACTCTTTGTAAAATCCGGGCTAAACTAACACCCTGACAACATGTTCCAGCAGGATAATGCCCGCATCTGTCAGAACTTCCTACACGAAGAAGGAGTAGAAATTCTCCCCTGGAAGAATCGTTCGCTTTCCGGATTTAAACACGATCAAGCATGTGTGGGATATGATGGGTCGCTATATAAAGCGTTACTAAAAGCGGCAAACACCTTGCAGTTATTGCGTCGTCATCTACAGGAAGGCTGGGATGAGATTCCGCAAGATACCATTGACATTTCATTTATAGCATGTCTCGCAGAGTTAGACACTGCATAAACAGTCGTGGCGATGTAACATTTTGTTGACATAAATTGTTGGTATTTTTGTTTTCAATTGTTATGATTTATTATTGACATATATACAAATTACTTGTAATTCAGCTTTGTGAGTCAGCTCTTGCGACGTGTTGCAATTTTTTGGCACGTAGTTTAAGCTTTTCTCATCCATTCTTAAATAATTCTCGTAATGTTTTGGGTCTTCACTTTTCAGTTCTCTCAATAAATGATTTTCAATTTCCAAATTATTACGATTTGCTACGAAAGGCTCTCGTTTTTAGGTTTCTCTTCCCTACTCGTTTTTCCTTCTTTTTACGTTGCATTTTCAACAATAAACATATTGTAATTATTGAACTCAAACAGATATCAAAATCTAAAAACTGTTGTTTAGCCATTTTGTATAATAATATGATCAAATATATTACGAAGTGTAAATCGACAACATATTTTCAGTAATATTTTTTCATTAAACTTTATATTACAAATATTTGATAATAAATCTATGACATAGAACTATGATAGTGTAATAAATAACATACTCTGAACCATTTGGAAACCAAATTAACAGCCCAGTTATTGTCGATGAGCTTGGCTCACAAACCACAAATCATGGTTGATCAGTAATCGCAAAAAATTATCTTTTCAATAAATTCATTGCCATGGCCGTGATTTTAACTTGGCCATGTTAGTAACAGAAATTCGTTCTTCTTAAAGAGAGAATGTTTTTGTCTACATAGAATTAGAGCATGACTCACCTCAACCCCTCAATCAGAATTAATCAAGTAATTTGACGCCGTTTGGGAATAATAGGATCATAAAAAAGAGTGAAAAGTTTTCAGAGAATCATTGTGGCAAAAATGATAAACTTGTGATTCCTGATGATGGTTATCCATTGAAATCAGTATAATCAAAATTATAATATTATTGCCAAAGATGCCAACAAAAATAATTTGATGTCAAAGACACATTTTTTTGACTTTTACGAATGAAGTAAATTAAAAGTAACTTTTAAGAAAAAGAAAAAAACAAGTTTATGTTAGAGTTATTTTACGAACTACATAAATCTGGTTGCGCAAGAAGATGTCGACTATAAAGTTCACACGCATCTAATGGCACTCGGGTGAAAGTAGCTCGTCCGAAGAACTATTCTCTGCCCAACCCAACCCAACCGTAAACCATTCGATTTCCTCAATGTCCATTTTACCATTGAACCCAATTCATAAATAAGAACCGGCTTTATTATAACAAACAAATTAACCAACACCCATAGCAGAAAATACCTAAGCCCAAAAAGTATAAAGAGAAAATGTTTTCTCAAGCGATCTAAAAGCGAATTACCTTTTAAAAAAACTATTGTGGTCTGTAGAAATTATTATTAAACCAAGTGGAGCACGTGTGTGTGCTAATTATTTAACGCTTGCATAATCTCGCTATTTATCGAGCAATGCTCGTTTCGCACCATAAAAAAAGTTTTATACTCAATGAAAACTTGAACAAAACAAATTGAAATCATTAAGAAAACCAATTGTTAATAAATAAACTTAGATTTCAATGTTTTTCAGCGATTGTCTTTGTGTTTCATTCCCATTTACATCGTCAATTAAACAATTTCAAAAGCGTCTCGTAATCAAACGGGTGAAAACTTGCGGTTGTTGTGTTGTATATGAGAAAGTGGTAAGAGGCGAAATACGAGATAGAGATGAAGGTAACTTGTAAACGCAATAAAAGGCAAAATAAATTCAAAGACACATACACGGTACCCTTTTCCGTGCTTCTATTAACATCTATCTTAAAACTCTTTAGGATTGAAGTCGTGATTTCTTTGTAAAAGGACAAGGATAATGAATTGTTTTACAATTTTATTGTTCGTTTCTTATCTATCCTTTTATTGTTTAGTTAATTTTATAATTTTATTTCAGATGGTTTGGAACAAAAGTCAAGGATAAAAAGACCCAGAGCACCACCTCCGCCTGAAAACGAAGTGGAACAAGATGAATACGATGAACGAAACAATCCTTTAAGTACAAACTTTCTACCACCCGGATTTTTGAGTCCTTCGGTTGTGGAATATTTAGAATTGGGAAAATCAATACCAGGTAAGAAAATTTATATTTCTTAAAACAACTTAGTCAAAGTTTAAGATTATGTGATATAAAAATTGGGAACAAGGTTGTTGAATGATTGTTAACTCGTAAAATGTTTGGTACGCATACAGAAAATCCTTTAAGTTTTTTTTTTTTTTCACATCGGACATTCTCTTCGTCCATTCTGTGAATGCGTAGATAAGTTATATCCTGTTATGTTAGGTGAAAGATGGACGAGGCGGGATTTAATTACTTCTCTCGACTCTTAACCTTCAGTTAGGACCATTCGAATAACTTTGAATAAATAATGCATCTTTAAAATCTTTAAAAAAGAAAAAAAAGTAATCATTGGAGATGATTATACACTATACAAGAAAGGATTTCTGACTTTCACTTCATCAGGTGTAATTATAAATTTTAGAACGTCTTAAATATTTTTTTTCTTTTCTTTAGAAGTAATTAAAAAATAACGAATTAAACTAAAATTAAAAAAATACAATTTATTTTTATATTTATTATCTTCTGGTGTATTTCTTAAGAGATTAGTTCTATCTCAGAATTTATCAAGATTATATCAATGTACTGACAAGTTGTAATTTACACTTTCTATAGCTCTAATAATGCTTTCTCTATACGGAAAGAAAAATAAAACGATGTTGTAATAGATAATAAATTGGACTGCAATAATGGGTTGGGTTGAAAGGATTATTTGGTGTTAAGTAAGTTTTTTTTAATGGTAATTAATGACTTAATTATTGGAAAAGTTACAGATAACAAACTACAAGTTGTAAATCAAAATTCGCCAAAAAGATAAGATTTTTAAATTAATCAAAAAATTCCAAACATATAAATGTTTAGATATGTGGGAAACACGGATATAAAAATTGTCCTTCTGTAAAAGATTCCTGGTTCGCTAGATTCCTGCTACCAACAATGATACAAATTATTTTCAACCAATATGAAGAGATTTGAGAAGAGTGAACCTACATTGCAGCAGTCTTCAATAAAAACCACATAAATTTGTTAACACTGTTGTAGACATTAAATGTGTGTATATCTTACGAACTACGGTAAATTTTAAGATTTTCCAGTAAAATCTTACATTTACCAACTTTGCATGGTAAAAGTCCGAAATGTTTTGTGATGATCATTCATTTCGAACTTTTACCACCATTAATTCGGTAAATCTTAGGTTTTACCGCAGATATACGGTAAATGTCGAAAAATAGACACGTATAGAAGTGTTCGGTGCATATTCTAGTACTCGTGGACAGTCTACAGGCTTTTTGATGTCGGAAAGTAATTTATGAATCAAAAGTGATATTAATTCGATATATGTGAGTGTCTTCACTGTCTGAAAGTAATTTATCAATCAAAATGAGTGTAAAAAAGATATTTCATGAAATAATGGACGTGCTTGTAGCAAGCAAGAACGATGACAATATTTATATAGACAAGAACAAATATATTAATGCGTAGTGCTTCATGGATGGAGAAGTATGTGTTGCTGTGGTCGGTGAGATCTTGGCGAAACGTCTGCTCCTTTCCAAAGGGAACCAACAGGAGGAACGGATGAAATCTCGGACCGAAGTAAATGGAATGTAACCGCAAGTATAAAAATTTAACGTCCATTAGGCTATAGAGCGGCAATAGAGGCTGTGATGATATATTTGTAACTATGCCAACCTTGTCAAAAAAAACAGAAGTCAAAGTCTTTTGTTTAAAAGGGCATTGTCATCAAGCCTATACTTCATAGTGAAATGAACTCACTTTTGGAACATTTCCGAACATCCTTCATTCCGATAATGGTGGAGAATTTTGTAACCAAGTTATTGAAAGTTTATGCTCTATGTAGCCGAACGTTAAAATAGTACATACATGGGAATCCCAGACACAGTCAGACTCAAGGATCAGTAGAGCGGGCCAATCAAGATATCGAAAATATGTTGTGCACATGGATGGACACAAACCAGTTAACAAAGTGGTCAGAGGGTTTGAAATTCATCCAGGCAATGAAAAATAGAGCATATCGCGAGGGTATAAAATGTTCCACCAACGAAGTAATGTTTGATAGTCCCATGAAAATAGGCATTACAACGTCAGCAATACCTAGAGACATGCTTGAACTAGTAAAATCAAGCAGAATCTATCCTGGCAATAAGAAAAAATGCAAATTTAATTTGGAAAACCATGGTGAAAAAATGAAAGCAACGTCAGCAAATAAATATCCAAATTTGAAAGTTGACCAAAATGTAAATCTGAAAGTACCTGACATTAACAAAGCTAAAACTGATCCAAAAAGCATGATTGCAGATGTGGTAGATGTAAAAAACAACTAGCTTTAGTAACTGGGTACGAAAATTAGAGCACTAAAGCAGCTTTATACTAAGAAGTTTACCACATGCTCTGAAGTCTTTATAAAGATAGAAGAAATTGTTGAAGATAAACCTCGAGGAGGACAAAGATTCAAAAAAAAATGCTTATCAAAGTAATGCGCTTGCAAGTCATCAGGACTACTTTGTAATTGTAACCCTCTCCGTGTTGTAACAAGTAAAATGTTTTTTTTACTCTTAATAATTGTTAATTTACTATTTGCTCTCTTTTAATTTGTTTAAAATACCAAATAATAAGAGTAATACTGCGTTACGTTTATTTATTTTTACTTGTAAAAAGTATTTTGAAAATGTTTAAAAAAATACCGAATGATAGATAATAATTTAAGCAATGTGAAGATTTAATTAGTAATAAATTACTAAAATAAATGATAGTAGTATATTTAAAAAACCAACATTTACGAACGATTATTGGTAAAACTTAACATGTACCAAACTCCCATGTTGGTAAATCTTAAGATTTATTAGCTAAACCTAAGATTTACTGTAATTCGGGCTTTTACAGTAAGATATAGACTACATATATATAGAGTTTGGACAAGGAGAGGGAAAAGAGAGACGAATTTGTCTCTTTCTATCTGTCAAAAATGTATTTAAACAGTTAAATTTTCAAGTTTCAAAATTCTTATTGGTTGACCTTTCTTCCTCATTATACGATCTGTATCTTGTATGTTAATATTCTTTGGTCACCGGTAGTTATCATTGATACATTGTAGTTTGGAAAGTCCAAATCGAGGATTCAAATATTTAATAAAGTGTCCAGCACGATGTGAATGCCGAAAAGAATCAGGATCGAATGAGTCAATCTAGGAGAGCTTGCCAAATGGATAAAATTGTTGGGAATGACTTGCTCTACTAAAGAATATCCCCCTGGCGAACCTAGAGACATTAAATCGAGACCTGTCATTTTGTCATGATCTCCGATTGAGTTTAAAGGACTCTACTTACTCTAGATAGCTGACATATTCTTTTTATGACAATTATGTTACTTATTTTCGAAGGTTTCTCGGAAATTACTCAGGATGAGCTCGTTTAGACACATTTTACGATATCAACAATTGGAACAGTTCTTAGACAGTTTGGAATAACTCTCCAAGACTACAATCATTTTGGGCAACAACCATATTGTAGTCTTGGAGAGTTGTTACAAATCTTTGATTTTTTTTTTTAAATCAAGATTTTCAAGATATTCTGCAAATATGACAAGTATGAGAAAACATAGATCAAAAGCTTAAGCTTATAGATGCTCAGCTCAGTTTCTAAATTTGCGTTGCGAGGATCTTGAAGTAACTAAAGTCAAAGAGCATGTGATCCAAATTGTGCAATATTTTAGAAACAATCACCTGCCTATATCCAAGTATGGCTTGTATATCCTGATAGAAAAGTTTTAAACGATGTGAAGTGGAACAGTATGGTAGTTTGTCTGCAAATACATGTAAGTTAATGGAAAAAACTGTCAAAAGTATGTGAAGAAGATAAAAAGGAAATTAATTCTACAATATATACCAAAAACTATCTAATATTGATCCCAAACGATCTATAGAAGATTACTTAAATATCTTAAAGCCAATATGGCGGGGACTTGACAAATTGCAAAAAAGGTGCTTCTCTATATGATGTTATAGAAGAGTGGAAAAAATTGGGAAGCTCATTTGACGAAAAATTGTAATTATCACTGTCTCAAATACAAGTTTATCAGAAATTTTATAAACAGGCACTTACGCCTTACCATTTAATTGTATTTATTTTACAATTTGATGTAACTAAAATAAAATATAAATTGACGATGGAAGAGAAAGACGAAGCTATGAACACACTTAGTTAAACGTATGCTAATACTGGATTACTACCACTAATAGTTAAGCTAGAGGCGAAAAGGGAACCATTTTCTGCAAGGAAGTTATATCCATTGCTACTGCTTTACAGTTGTGGATTTCACAAAAAAAAACCTTCCTGATAATGAGAAATTTCTTCTAACTTTAAAACAATTTTTATGTATTGTTTGTTCACAACATTTGGGTTCGTCCACTCCAATGTGTGCAAATGAAAACAAATGAAAAGTGGAAAAAGCCAGAATATTACTATTTTTATATAAACTTTATAATTCCTGAGTATTGTTTTCTTTTTGTTTTTATTTATATGGTTTGGACAAGGAGAGGGAAAAGAGAGACGAATTTGTCTGAGTTTGTCTCTTCTTATTTGTCAAATATGTATTTGAACAGCGCAATCCCCAGGTTTCAAAATTCTTTTTATTGTTTGATTGTAAAGTAAAAGACTGACACCATAGCCTCGAGCAAATCTTCAAGGTTGGCCTTTCTTTCTTATTGCTTGATATGTTGTTTTAAAGTTATCAACCCAATTCGCAATGATTTTTCATTTTTGTGGAAAAGATAGCCCAGAATCTCTTCCACAAAAAATTAATATTCTTTGGTCACCGGTAGTTATCATTAATACACTGTAGTTTGGAAAGTCCAAATCGAGGATTCAAATATTTAATACCGTGTCCAGCACGATGTGAATGCCGAAAAGAATCAGCAGCGAATGAGTCAATCTAGGAGAGCTTGCCAAATGGACAAAACTGTTGGGAATGACTTGCACTACTAAAGAATATCCCTCTGGCGAACTTAGAGACATTAAATCGAGACCTGTCATTTTGTCATGATCTCCGATTGAGTTTAAAGGACTCTGCTTACTCCAGATAGTTGACGTAATCTTTTTAAGACGATTATATTACTTATTTTCGAAGGTTTCTTGGAATTACTCAGGATGAGCTCATTTAGACACATTTTACGCTATCAACACTTGGAACCGTTCTTATTGTTAGATTGTTGGAACAACTCTCCATGACTATCTGTATCTAATCTTTTTGGGCTACAACCAGAGTGGGCAAAAATCACGATTTATTTATTTTTATCAAAAATCTTTGATTTTTTTGAGTTTTTCAAATATCTTTAACTTTGGTTTTGATATTTTCACGTAAATACGAACGCATCATTCAGGGTCATTTATGAGGAAGAAAAAATAAAGTGTATTGGAAGTCTTTTTAGATGTAACGTAAACATATCAGTTGATGGTTTGTCTAATGTACGTAATAACCATACCGTGCCATAATAGCTACTGAACATCTGGAAACCCCCATACAAGCGATTACTTAACAAAAATTGCTTATGGAATAATTTCATTTTGTAAAGCGAAATATGATCGTAATGTAACGTCATTTGTGAGGGATATGCTGCGAATATGACAAGTATGAGAAGACATAGATCAGAAGGTTATGCTTTAGTGGTTTTTTTATAACTTATAGATGCTCAGCTCAGTTTCTAAATTTGCGTTGCAAAGATTGAAGTAACTAAAGACAAAGAGCATGTGATCCAAATTGTGTAATATTTTAGAAACAATTATCTGGCTTGATCTAAGTATATGGCTTGTATACTGATGGAAAAGTTTTAAACGATGTGATGAAAAAGGAAATTGATCCTACAATATATACCAAAATATATCAATATACCAAACCCTATTTAATATTGATCCCAAACGATATGCAGAAGATTACTTAAATAAGGGACTCTGCTTACTACAGACTTTCTTCTTTTTTTATTATCTTACTTATCTTCGAAGGTTTCTCGGAATTACTCAGGATGAGTTCATTTAGACACATTCTTAGACAGTTTGGAACAACTCGCCAAGATTACAATCGTTTTGGGCTACAACCCAAGTTAGTTACTTAGTTACAAGCTTAGGGGCACAAAAAATACATTATATTTTCTATAAATAACTAAGGTAACAAAATGTTCAAGGAAAAATGTAAGTTTATTTCGAACTGTTTTGGGAATTCAGCATTAGTCGTGCAGCAACTGATGAAAAAATCGAATGATTATGACTTCCCAATGCTCTTATTATTTGTAGACTTTGAGAAAGCGTTTGACAATGTAAGAACACAAACAATCTTACAGGTCATACAAACGTTTGGTATGGAAGATCAGTATATTCGTATATTAAACTATATATACAAAACCTCAAAACTAAACGTTGAAATGAACAATAATAAAAGGACGATAACTCTAGGAAATGGACTGAAGCAAGGTGATGTGACTTCTGCAAAGCTATTCAATGCAGTATTGGAAACAATGTTTGTAGAAGAAGTATGGAAAGACCTGGGAATAAGAATAAATGGGCAATGGTTGAACAGGCTAAAGTTTGCAGATGACATATTACTTATAGGAAAAAACGAAACAGAAGTAAGGAAAATGCTGGAAACAATATCGAGAAGAGGGAAGCAAACTGGTCTGGAGATAAATATGAGCAAGACAAAAGCAATGTACGTAAATTGTGAACAAAAAAATAAAATAATTGATAATGGAAAGATTACAACCAAAAACACAGGAGAAGAAATAACACGGAGAATGGCAATGGGATGGCAAATGTTTAACAAATACAAAAATATATGGAAATCAAACATAGAAATGGAGAAAAAGAAAAAATTGTGGGAAATGTGTGTCCTGCCTGTCATGATTTATGGATGCGAGACATGGATATTAACAAACAAAATAATTAAAAAGATTAGGGTAACAGCAAGGGCAATACATAGAAGGATGATTGGCATTACGAAGAAAGATAAAAAAACAAAAGAATGGATAAGGGAAAAGTCAAACATCCAGGATATTGGAAGAATAGTATTGGATCGAAAATGGAATTGGGCGGGTCATATTATAAGAGTACAAGATGAGAGATGGACCAAGAAAATCTTAGAATGGTACCCAATAGACAAAAAGAGAAGAAAAAGAAGACCAACTGCCAGCTGGGAAGATGAGTTTAAGAGGAGTAACATGGCACAGGATAGCTTGGGACCTACAAGAATAAAGGAGATATACAAGGAAGTATGGCTTTACACGGACTAATATCAAGAGCATACGAACTCAGTCCCATTATGGGAATGCCACGGTTAACACCGAAAAAGTCACCAAACAAAAAAGGAGCGAAGATGAAATTTTAATTTGTTAAATTTTTGATTTTTGATATTAATTTGCAAAAGCACGATTTTGGTTTCTTAAATTTTGATTTTGTTGCTAAATTTTGATTTTGATTTGTTAAATTGTAAAAAGTTTATAAGAGTTGTTTTTTTTGTTGGTGACAATAAATGGCTATCTATCTTGGGAATTCAACTGCAAACTGCCTTAAGGTCAGTTTTGCAAACTGCAACTTCCGTAGAATGCCCAGCTAAAGGAAATAGTTCACTGAGGAACGGTGTTAGGAAGGGACATATCCTACACAGTTATTCATAAACGTCTCATAACAAAGTTTTCTCTCTTTTGTAAAAAGACATTTACACAGCTTTCTTTAAGATGCAAATTCTGCACGTGCATGGTTGCTCTGTTTATGTATGTTTTAGAAATAATTTTTGAATTCTCATTTTAACCAATTATAAAAGGATGAAATTCAATAAAGATAAATTTTTCATTTGAAAAATTATTTCCCTACTTCAACATCGAGTCTATCAAATCAAAATGAGCAACAGTTAGAAATTCGAATTGTATACGTTGTAGAGGGATAAAGATGCGGAAACCAACCAAACTAACAGATGCATAAATCAGGGTGTATCACACGATTCCCACGGCGCGTTTCACGTGCGAACGAATTACCCGCGACCGAACGAACGGACGCAGAGTTTCGCATCAGATTTTAGTTGTAGAGATTGCGAGGTATGTTTAATTCGCTTTTCGATTACTGCAACTTTTTTTTGTTGTCATCGCGCGCCCCCTTTGAAGTTATTCGGATTGGATCGGAATATTTTCCGCGGAGAGCAGTCGGTGAGTGCATTAAAAATCGCGCGGTTCACGGGTAATTTGGCTGGTTTTGCGAATTTTTCCGCCCGAACGAACGACGCGCTTGCACAATCGTGCGCTCTCGCGGAAATTCAAACCTAAACTTCGCCCCAGGCCCTCTGCCCGTCCGGTTTATTTGTTGCATTATGCCCCCCCGTAAATTATAAACGCAAGTCAAATGTGAACCGAATTTCGGGTTGTGTGAATAATTTCGTATGGAATTAACCCGATACATACACAATTCAAACTCACACAGTATTTTTTTTTGTTTTAGTTACGTTTTTTTTTAAATAATTCAAGCACAAATTTCTATTTCAATCCATAAAGAAATATTAACGATTAATTAAAAGTTTAAATAAGTATTATTTGTTAAAAATTCTTCTTAAAGCTTACAAAATATTGGAAAATTTCGACTAATAAATAATGTAAAAAGCGAATCTACACAAACCCATCCATCTACTGAAAACGCCAAACGATTCAGTTTTATTTCCACAATTTTTCGTCAATGGTAAAAAATCGAAATTAATTATGTATGAACTCATACATTCATTCATCCATTTTTTTATGTCGTTTTTTAACCCATTTAAAGGTTTTCACCGCATTAATTACAATATTTTAATTAATTTTCAGGTCGTCCAGGAACGGATTATCCAGTTTTAGGCACAGTACCTTACACCAGCTTTTATTGCGATGATCAACCTTATCCCGGATTCTATGCCGATCCGGACACTCGTTGCCAAACATGGCATTACTGCGACATCGATGGCAGACAAACAACGTTTTTGTGTCCCAACGGAACGCAATTCAGTCAAGCTGTATTTGTTTGTGATTGGTGGTTCAATGTAAGATGCGATTTAAGTCCAAGGTAAAATAGAAAAACCATCTGATACATCTAAAATTTTTATATTTATATGAAATTGTATTCATATTATAAAGTTAATTAAATAATAATGATCGGAAATTAATTTAATTCGAAATCTGACACTATTTTATATAAAGAGTATCAAGATTTCTTGCGGTATGTGTACATGAAGAAATCGCCTTGAGGCAAGGCTTTGACCCAATTCACGCCAGTTTTTAACGGATCTCGTTTTCGTTTCAGGTTGTATGTGATCAACAGCAGGTTGTATGGAAGGCCGAAACTTGATCCAACAAGACCACATAGAACAATAACTAAGCAACTTTTAGAAGAGATTTTCAATGATGAATACTAATTAAAAAATTAGCAACAAAGTTAAAATATAATAAAAAAGATTCTATTAAATAGTATTTAGTTCCTTTTCTTATATTACTTATACATTATTTGGTATACCACAAGGACGTAAACATTTATTTTGTTAATAATTTATTAATGCTGAGCATTATTATAAGTAGAACTAACTGATCATAAGATCTTTTTTGTAAATAGTTTACGTTAAAAAAGGATTTTAATAAATTTTCACAAATACAAAGATGTTTTGTTAATTCATTATTGAAAATAAAGAGAATTTATTTCAAAATCAAAGAGATTTTTTTTCTATGTGAATAGGCAACCCATATTACACTCTTAACTCTCAATGAAAATATTTTTCATTCTCAAAGTGTTAATTTAAATTATTTACTTAATTAAAAACATGCTTTCTGCAACCATAGTTACTCTAAGAAACAATTAAAGCAAGGTGAAACGAAAAATCTATTATAAAAAATGTTTATATCATTTATAAAGATTAAAAGACTATTCAGAGATTTACGCTCACTTTCAGGAATTTTCAAGAATATTTAAGAATGTCAATTACTACTTATATAAAAAGAAGATAGAAAGCAGATGAGTTGATATAAACATAGCTGGAAAATGAGGACCTTATCGTCACTATGTTTTGATTAAGCAAATCTCCAATGTCTCTCAAATATTAGCTTTGGCACTATGTATCAAAAAAGACAGATTCATCCCGAATGGTCAAGTCAATCCTATGAGTTCTTCTGGCCAAAAGTAAGTCGGGTTACACGTTATTATGTCGTCTATATTCTTTTGCAAAACATCCCTAGCAGAAATAGAAGCACATTTCCGCTCCTCGAAATTGTTTAAGTCTGCTGCACCAAAAAATACCTAATAGCCCATTTCAAAATTATTGGTCCATTCGTAACGAATATTGCCACCATAAAGAGCAACTGCTAAAATTTGCTTTCCATGGGCTTCACGGTGCCAGCTATTGCAATGTTACTGTATGAAGTAACTTTAGAAAACGAATGAAAAAGGAAAAGACTAGAGAAATACATGGAGGCAAAAAAAGAAAGAGATCTTGAGCCAGTAATACATATCTAGAATAAATGAATGCAGCACCAAATCAGTGATATAGTTGCTATTGTTTACTAAAAGTAAGACATATCCAAAAAGTGGTTGGACATTCTAAAATATGCTACAACAATAACAAACACATAACAAAAACACAGCTTAAAGTCGTCAAATTTAGTGCTGGTGTTCATCAAAGATTACAAGCAGAGGTTCTAAATCCACAAAAGTTAGAATTTAGACGTCAAATCTGCAGTACAATTTCAGAAAGGAAAGGAAACGTGTTATAACTAGAGACCGGATTTATATGCTTTTCATATAACTTCATATTTTGCATTTTTATCGTACATAAATTTAGTTATCCATACAGTTCGATATAATCGCATGTAATTTCATTTGAACGCATGTTTTGTCCATATTTCAATAATAAAATAACAGCAGTTCATTTGATACTGGCGGTATCTAGTAGACAGGGTTAACACTGCGGCAGTAATCTGCTTTACAACATAATTTTAACTGTGTGGTTCCCAGCCGATTTCCGTAACATAACCTCTAAATCATTTCAAGTTAGTGTGTATAGTTTTTACCCATTATCGGTTAAGTTAGTGTTAAAAAAATCAATAAATTATAATGCCAAAAGTGGGTTCTTCTAAGACCGAATTGCTTAGGAAGTAGATAAAAATATCTAACTATCTAGTGACTGACGAGAAAGTTGTTTTTTGCAACGCCTATTCCAAACAAGTACGTACAAATTAAAGTTTGAAGATATTGCTTTTTTTCTAGAACTGGTTGATATTTAAGGTGGCATGTAATCAAAAATATTAAATTTATCAATAACTTTCCATCATGAATCGGAAAAAAGATCATGTGGCAAATTAACCCAAAGTTTAATTTCTGATGCAATGCCTGGATCATCACAATAGGTCGCTGGAAATGCGTTTTTTTTTCATTTATGCAGCGCCATGGCCCAATCAAATATACCACGGAACAAATAGGAAAATCCAGCATTTGGTGCATTCTTAGGAAAGTATTGTAAATGTCACATGCCGAATGAATCAATTATGCCTAAAAACAATTTAGGTAAATGTTATCAGTTATCACGAATGTTTAACAAGTATTAGAGAAAAACTTTGCAATAGAAATATTTATATTCAAGTTGATGAAACGACAGATGCATGTGTACGTTATGTTGCTAATATGCTAGTTGGAATGTTAAGTCACTCGGATCCTCCAGTATCGTATTTAATAAATACCATGTCTTTGGATAAAACTAATCACGCGACAATTGTTCGTTTTCAGATAACGATTAAAGTTAATGGTGTCTGATGCTGCAGCGTATATGATTAAAGCAGGACAGGCTTTAGAAGTATTTTATCCGAGTTTAATACACTTTACCTGCACGTTTAGAATATTCAGCAGTAAATAAACTAATAATAGACTAAATAATGGCAAAAAAGCGTTTTTAAAGGCTCTCACCGCCTAAGCCAATAATTACTAGATGGGACACGTGGATTAATGCAGCACTAAAAACGTATAAAGAGTATGTTTCAGATAAGAATATTTTAAGACAGTTAGCTTTTATTAAAACACATTTTTCATTGTTATCATCTACAATTAAGAAGTTAGAAACTGATCAAATGTCTTTAATTGACAGTTTTAAAATATTAGGAGAAGTAACAGAACATTTAAAGTTTAAAATTTAGTTCCTAGCGCCATAGGTAGTAAAATAAACGCAAAATTGGAAAGCGTGCTACTTCGAAATCCTGGATATAACAAAATGAAAGAGGTTTGTGGAGTTTTGTGAGGAGAGGATGAAGAAGTTAATGATATGAATTCTGCAAATATAGCTTCCATGAAGTGTGCTCTCATTACATCGTGTGATGTGGAGTATTCTTTTTCAAATTATAAAAATATTTGCGAGTTTAGGATAGTTTTGGAAAAGTATTGCTAGGAAAAAGGTGATGAGATAATGTTGAGTATTCGTCCGTCTTAAGATACGCACGGCTAAACCCGAATGTTTCTAATTCTGGGTTTGGTGTTAGTTCTACTTTTCGTTCAATAAAAATATCCCACAATCAATCGCTGAATTATAATTAAAACTAGTATTAATACTACACCTAGAAACATTCGGGTTTAGCAGTGCGTCTCTCAAGACGGCTAAATCCTAATGATTCTAGTTCTAGATATTGTGTTAGTTCTAGTGATAGTGCTAGTGTAAAACTAGAACTAATACTAGACCTAGAACTAGAAACATTCGGATTTAGCCGCACGTCTCTCAAGACGGCTAAACCCGAATGATTCTAGTTTTAGGTCTTGTGTTAGTTCTAGTGATAGTACTACTGTAAAACTAGAACTAACACTAGACCTAGAACTAGAAAGTTTCGAAGATCCATGTGCGTTTTCAGACGCACGGCTAAACCCGAATGTTTCTAGTTCTAAGTCTAGTGTTAGTTCTACTTTTAGTTCAATAAGAATATGCAACATAGTGATTTCTTATGCTAACTAGCGCTACCTGCCATTGTCACTAGAACTAACATTAGACCTAGAACTAGAAACATCCAGGTTTACTCGTCTTAAGCCTTTGAATATATTGAAAATTTTCATAAACTCACGAAAAACCGAAAACATTGAAATATTAAAAAGATGGAAAAAATTTCGATTCCGACAAAATTGTCATTACGGACCTGTACTTTTCAAAAATGTGCAAATGATCCGAAACCTTCATGTATGACTCAAAACTTGTTTATAATACATTAATATCCCCTAACACATCCCATAATATAAATATTGCCTTATAAATCAGCAATTAATGTGTAAATTTTTTGTCTTTTATAACTTTTTTGCCATAAAGACAACATAAATATATTTTTTTACATCTTTTTTCATCATGTTCTAAATACAGTATTGGAAAAAAGTAGAGCAACTTTTAATTTTTGTAAATTAATTTTAAATTAATGTTTTTCCTTAAGGTTCACATTACTATGGTAGTGTATATTATATATATTTATGTAGTGAAGATTTCACAAAGCTAGCCTTATTTTATTAGAAATAAAATAAAATTATAAACCTTGGGTTGGAAAAAAGTAAAACAACTCTGCTAAGAAATACAAACATATGGCAAATAAGAACGAGTTTTTGATAAGATACATTCGATAAGACCAATCTTAAACATACCTCGTGTTGTAGCTGTTTGTAAAACGGTGAAAGAAATGGTTATTAATTTTATAACCCATGTTAAACAATGTGATATCGCTCGCAAATTCTGTTTACACAAATGTGTAGTGTAGCGAATTATTAAACAATACCGTGAGACGGAACTTGTAGACTTGCAGAAAAGGTCTGGACGTCCCAGAAAAACCAATGAATACCTTGATAGAATAATTGTAAGAACAGCTAAAAAATATCAATTTTATACTTCAGCCAAAATTAAGGCTGAGGACTTACGCGTACAATACGCAATAGATTAATTGAAAATAAACTATTTGCCCGAAAACCAGCGAAAAAACCAATTCTACCAAAAAAAAAATAAAGCCGCAAGACTACTATTTGCACACACCCATCAAGAGTGGGCATACAACGAATAGAAAAATGTATTGTTTAGTGATGAATCCTAGTTAACTTATTTAAAAGTGATGGAGTGCAATATGTGAGGCGACCAATAGGAAAAAGGCTGACATCTAAGTACACGCAGAGAACATTAAATCATGGAGGTGGTTCTGTGATGGTTTGGGTATGTTTCTGTGGTTTTGTTGTAGGCTCTATATACCGTATTATGAGGATCATGGACAGATTAAATTTATGTACCTACCGTGATATGTTAAGAAATGTTATGGAACCTTATGCCGACGAAAATCTGCTTATAAAATTGCAGTTGCCTTATAAATTTCAACGGGACAACGATCCGAAACGCACATCTAAAGTTGTAAAGGAATGGTTTGAAGAAAATAAAATAAATTTGATGACTTGGCCGTCACAACCACCAGACTTAAATCCTATAGAAAACCTATGGAAAATAGTTGACGATAAAATTCAAAATAAAAATGAATAGCGAATTGTTCGCTATTATTGTATCGGATATTTTAATATCGGAAAAATCATTGATAATTTAATACACTCAATGTCACGAGGGTATCATGATGACATTAATAATAAAGGAGATTGTATAAAGGTATTAAGTACTAA